ATTGTTTCGAATATATATATTTTGTGAGCTAGAGTGTTAAATATTGTGGTATATTATTGAAATGTATTGCCGTTATAAAAGACTAACACAAGGTATTGCTATGATGATTGGCCCCTGAGCACTCTGTATATCAAATTATGTATATTGGTCCCCCTCTCAAACGCTATTTTAAACCCTCAAGAGTTGTATAAAAAAAGAAAGACAAATTTATAATTGTAAATGGTGAACCATGAACGTACCATTAACTAGTTAGTTTAAGATTCTGCTCACACCTCATCATATCGCACTTTTAGTGGCAGCCATGTTTGCTTTTATTGTTAAAAAACGCTTACGCGAGTAATCATTCCATATTTGGAATTCGCATTTCCTAATATGGTCGGATTAAAATACCTCGTAAAATACCGCAAATTTACGGCACGTGGTAATTTATGGCGTTACGGCGACAGATGCATAATAATATAATGTACTTGACAGCTGAAATTACTATGACATCGAGCGAATAAATAATTTGTGTAAAATGATTCTGTTAAACCAGCATACACTCAAAGATGTCGGCATGTTTTTTTTTCTTTTTATTAGCACCTGTATCTGAAATTCCGCCCAGTGAATCCAGATATAATCCAGCTAATACCATACTTGTAGCTCATCCGAACAAGGTGGGACTGCGGCCTACACATTCCCTATTAATAAACTATAGCTGTAACTGACAATCGCTACAGTCGTTGGCGCGATCACGTGATTACCAGGGATATGTATCAGGGTCAAAGTCTCTGAATAAACAAACCATGCATGGCACAGTCCCATTTAGTTATTGAATTTAAGGTTTATAGTTTTGTTTATAGTAAAATAGCTGGAATATAACCATGTCAGGAATATGATTATGACGATTGTCTAACATTAAAACGATTGACATTTGTATCTGATTGCCCCCTCCGGGCTTGCGAAGTTGCCACTACTAAATACAATAAGCAAACAATCTATTCGTCGAATTCCTAAAATATATCTTTATAACCCCCATCCTAAACATGCAATTTGTTGATTCTAAACAATAGTGCAACGGTGCGTGAACCGAATGTGCAAACGAAAAATCGCTATCATAACAGACCACGCTTGTGTATTAAATGTAGAGTAGGCGTACCGTGATGGAAAGGTGGACAGGCCGTTGCTGTTTCCAGTCAACACAAATACGTGGCAATATTGCAAATGCTTATTATAGGGTCGGCAGAGGTATTTTCGTAAGCAATTATTTTTATTTTCGTAATAATGTAAATTTGTAGACATGGGCAAGGTATAAAAATGTAATCAGCTATTTTATTCGTTCGTTATTTGTAGAAATATCTTTTTTTGTAAGCGTATAAAGCATTTCCTACATTAAATTCTAACTTTAATTCTTAAATACACATTACCAAATATATTATAAAAATGTAATTAGGAATTTGCTTTATCTGAAAAGTGTAAAAACCTATTTTTTACTGTAAATGGAACATGTGCGCATTGAACTACAGTTTTGCAAGATGGCCATCAAATTTGCTACCTAATTAGCAAACTAGCTAACTGATTTGCGAAAACCTTGGCACGTACGCTTGAAACTAGACTGGCACAGTTTGGGCAATTTATTTCTTTTTAAATTTAAAATTAAATAAAAAAAAGTAGCAAAATGGAGGTTTTAACGCGAAATCCCCTGTAACTGCGAAATCATGTGGTGGCTTTGCGTCCACCCCACCTTTCGCAAAACTATTTTCCAATTTTTTAAAAAAAAATCACCACAGCTGGGCCAGTCTAGCTTGGAACGAACAGTTTGGGTGTTCGCACGATTTAGATCGTAATATTATCTGAGTAACCTGTAGAATGCTGTGCGGGTGTTATATTTTATAATGATTTTTGTTGCATTTGCAGCAAATAGTTACCAAACAATGAGAAATATATAAGATTGATATATACTTCGGAACTGGTATAGTTCAAGCCTGCAATACCAGTGCTTATACTAGTATTTAGTTACAGCTTTATGTTCCAAGTAATCGCAAGAAATTACCATTACAATAGAAAACAAAAGACTAGCACTCCCATGTTAATAAAGAGTAAGTGCAATTCCTGGGATTGAAACATTTCATTAACACAGATTTGAAGTCACTGATGTAGGCAATGGATAACTTGGAATAAAGACAAGGCGTTGTCATATAATTTGTTTATTTTAATTTCTCTTGAAGTTACATAGAATGTTTTGGGGTATGATGTATATGGTGGGTAGAAGTTGGTGTCATGTAATTCGTTCATTTCAATTTCTCATGAAGTCACATAGAATTTCACTTAATTTATTTTCGCTGAAAAAGTTCCAGGCATTATATGTGTCAAGTCTCAAAATAGAATATAGAGGAAATGTCATTTTAACTTTAATTTATTTTAGCGGAAAATGTTTTCAGTGTAAGTGATGTATTCCACAGTACTAGTGCGGGCGTTTCAGGGTCAATAAATATGTTTGGGTATCAACATGAGAAATGTTAGTTTACATTAGTAATCGCATATACAAATACCATTAATTAATAAAGATCTTTAAATGTAACATTTCATTTGCATGTAGAAAAATATTTGTTTTATAGTAATGATTAACACCGACAGTTTGCAAAGTATTTGTAACTGACAAAATATTAAATAAAAATATGACTTCAAACTGAAAATAAAAATGAGTGAATCTTATGTAAATTCAGTGTTTGTATAAAAAACAATAATATCTTGTTCAAAATACAATATACGTATTATCCTACAACAGATATGAATAATATTTAGGGTTCACATGTGCTTCTATTGGAGGTACAAGTCTGTGGCCGAAATCATAAAATACAAATTCCTGATTCACGGCAAAATATTTGTAAATCGTGAAGATGTGAGAGTCACAATTTAGGGCTACAATATGCTCCTACTAACACAATGATTAAATGTCAATCGTTCGCCAGAACACTCGCAAATAATTCATTACTACAACATTAATGTGCAGTTTTACGGTCTAGCTTAGACGCTTGTGATGATGAAAATAAATAAGAACTATACCAGCTTGACGAATGATCTGCCTACGTTGACATAATCTTGTGACATTGGACAGTTTATAATTAATTAAATTAGAAGAGCATTTCGTTATTCACCTAATAATATAATACTGCAGCAATGCTGTGTCTTCCAGGAGAACGCTACATATTGCACGTTTAGTACAAACCCTCTCTATGACACAGTTCACCGACCCGCTAAAATGAAATCGGTGAATAGATTATCCCTTTTTGAGAAAATATATCACTGCTTTCACCATTGTATTCAAACGAATCACGTAGTGTGATGTGACATTCTCCCACGGAAAATGAAATATGGGAAGTAGGCCTACATTACACTTCCTTGAGTCAAACCGGGGATTCAACCATTAGAAACGTGTCGGTGAAACAACACATTGCACAGCATACAAATTCAACATTTGCAAACCAGTATACTAAAACAGAAATGCTCAGCGATGCAAAAAAAGGATAGATATTACTTTTCAGTATACACATCTCTTTTGACACAATCCCTCACATATTCCACTCCCAATTATTCCTGTGTAAAATGGAATAGCCTCAATCCACATAAATATTCTGAGTAAAACCACGTGACGGGCTGTTATAATTGGCTGTTACACACTTTTCTGCCGGTCTGGAAAATGTGTTTAATTAGCTCACATTCAAGCAAGAATGCAGATGTCCCAGTAGGAGTGAAACTGGTGTGACTTTTAAATTAGGGGTGTTTTCTACAAATATCCCTGGAGTGCATACACTAAACAGAATTTCAGAACAAATCTCGCATTAGTTACAGTATCAGAATAGCACAGCAATATCAGACGAAACATTAAATCACTACATATTGCATTTCACCCTGAACCCTCTATTGCAATTCTAGGAATCACCACATCTAGGTATTAACCACCCCTGAAAACAAACTCCTAATACCACGCTGAAGCATAGGGTGATAAATGCACAATGTGACGTAGTAATGTACGCAATCAACGTAGTAATTCACAAAATAAACTATTTATTTGAAATGAGAAGAATGTGTATGCCAAAATGTTGTTAAAATACATATAATCGATTTTCATAAACCTGTGCTCCCCGTGGAAATGAAACAAGTTCACTATCCCAAGACAGATTGGTTTGGGGAAACCCCGGAATTAAAAAGATAAATTTGTATTCAGGAGTTCTACTAGTGGGCAGGCTCCGAATGCGAATAGAGGTTGGCACGCAACGTTAGGGTCCGTCCTGTACAGTGACGTGACTGTTTCTACGGTCAGACGAAGCCCTACAAGGACCAAATTTAGCATGCTTCCCTTTCTTGATATTTCACTATAAACCGAATCATGGCTAATAATTTCTTAAATGCTGAAACCAAATGCATATTCATTTAACTTGTCTAGAAAATGGCGCAAAATACTGCTGTGTTTCTGAAGTGCGTTTATGTTTCGCACTGTACAGAGAATCTAGACTGGGCATGCGTAGCATAGAAGATGCAATTGCATATGAATATGAGAATTACTTTTGCTTGCACTTGATGCCAAAGTTATTAATAAATGTCGTCTTAGATAAAATTTAAGTACATTTTGTCTTACATTTGTTTGATAAATATAAACTTTAAAGCGATATTTTTGGCAAGCCCAATGTGAAGGGTTGGATGAATTCCTACCCAAAATGGCACCCCCTAAGTTCTTTAGATTAACGTCTTAGTTGGCCACGCCTCTGTATTTCCGTTGCTTGGGTGTCTGTTAGCTGTTTTGCATTTTAAGTAGCGAATTTGATAGCCATCTTGCAAAACTGCAGTTCCATGCACATGTGCCCAACCAGTAATAATAATATATAACTCACATTACAAGTGACTCTGAATCTCTGTGTAGGTAACATGCATTATTATTCAATCAAGAACATTTATATTATTTAGTTACAGGTTTGCCGAAACAACATTTTGACCCTTTGACAACTCGGACGAATTACACAATGCCGGAGCATAGTCACAGTTACATTAGTACAATATCTCGTTTGAAAACACTTAATTTGAATCCTTCAGAGACACCCCTGAAAAGATGCATTTCCATAGGGGAACTGATATTGCTCGGCATTGGTGGTATCCTCGGCTCTGGTGTATACGTACTGACTGGTAGTGTCGCTAAAGACGTAGCTGGGCCAGCTGTTTCCATTTCGTATTTGATCGCATGTTTCCCGACGCTTCTAGCTGCAATCTGTTTTGCTGAATTCGGCGCCAGGATACCCCGGACAGGATCGGCATATATATACACATACGTGACATTAGGTGAGATGTGGGCTTTTATAGTGGGATGGAATTTTGTTCTAGAAATTTGCGTTGGCAATGCGGCTTCAGCACGCACCGTAAGTGGTTACTTGGACATGCTGACAAGATTCAAAATACGCAATTTTACAATTGATTACATCACAGGTAGATCAATTGACCACCCCCCGCTTTCGCAATATCCGGATTTGGTAGCATTATTTTTGATAATAATTGTCACACTTGTATTATCAATGGGAATCAATATTTCCGTCAAAGTCGCCTCCATTTTTACATGTATTAGTATTGGTGTCATGCTGTTTATTGTATGCATGGGGTTTTACCTCATGGATAAAACGAATTGGGAGGCACAGGGTGGCTTTGCACCTTACGGATTTTCTGGAATTGCTGCTGGCGCGGCATCGTGTGTGTACGCTTACACTGGCTTTGAAATAATTACTACAGCTAGTGAAGAATCTTTGAATCCAACGAAAAGTATACCGATTGCTATATGTGCATCCCTTACCTTTGCAGTGGTGGTGTATGTAACTGTTTCTGCTGCGTTGACTCTCATGATACCTTACTACAACATTAATCCGGATGCATCTTTTGCCGATGCATTCCAACAACATGGCCTTCTTTGGGCGAAGTATGCTGCGGGAATTGGTGCTGTTTGTGGAGTTAGTATCACACTGTTCATTAGTACAATTTGTATTTCTAAAATTATATATGCCATGGCTGCGGATGGTCTTCTATTCACTGCATTGGCCAGGATTGAGCAGTGTAACCAGGTCCCAGTGTTTGCCACAATAACGTGCGGAGCTTTCACTGCAATTCTAGCCATTTTCGTTGACACGGATTTCCTAGTGCAATGTAGATCAATTGGTGGTTTATTTGGTTATGTAATGATATCAACAAGCGTCATAATTCTGCGATATAGACCTATAGGAAACATCACATATGAGAACGGCAATACACCATCTAATAAAGACATTCCACAGCTAGAACATAACACTTCTCTCAACGTGGCTAACATAACACAAAACGACACGTTTTCAGTTGGTATTTTTAGAAATTTGAAACCTGGCATGCTTCCTGGAATGGCCACTATCCTGATGACTATGGGTATGTTTATTTTAGCAGCGATTATTAATTTTGGCACAGATTCCTTTAAAGTGTGGAAGCCATGGCTCATCCTTACTTTAATAGTACTAGGACTATTTGTGGTTCTCTGCTTTGCTGTGATCTGCAAGCATAAACAAGAAGAAACCAGGCTGAAATTTAAGGTAGGTTCATGTGTTGATAAAACTACACACTAGCGATAAAGCCCTGATAGATATGTCACATTTTCACAATAACTAGTCATATTTAGCTTCGTCTCTGACGAAAACTGGAATTTATTAATTGACACACATGCGTATCCTCATCTGTATCTTAAATATCCTTCAGTAGTTCACATTCAGACTTCACGCACATATCAATCCTCTTGGGAAATATATGCATGCCATGCTGTTTCACGATCAAATTTAAGATGCTTGAATAGCGGCCATTACTATGCATATAATTCAACAAAATCGAGAAGTTTGCTATCCCAAAAGTAGATTGCGTTTACGTATGAATATATTTCGTGACATAAAATAACAGCCAGACTGACCGACACGAATGGCGTTTTAGGTCCCTATCTCCGACATGCCCTGACCAATCACGTAACTTTGTACATACATTTTATCCCACACATCTGCACATATATTCATTGAAAACCAGACCAGGTCAAAATAGCTAAAATTAGGAAATTCTTCGATGTCGAGACCTGGATTTTCGTCATACAATGAACAAAAGTAGACCCTATTTTTTGTATAAGATCGGATTAAAAAGCGTTGGCGGACAGAAATGTCGTTCAAGAGATATGCCTTGACTGATCGTAATTGTAAAGCTTGAGTACATTGTACATTATGTTACACTCACTAACAAGCATTTGTTTAAAGTTGTGATTCAAAATGGCTTATCAATTTCAGTGTTATACACTATTGAATAACCGGAACTCAGTCATGACGTTATATATTTTATTTATTCCTAATTTCACCATTGTATCATTTAACAAGGAGATATTAAATATTTAAAGATATTAAAATTAGTGATGTCATTGAAAGCTCATTAATATTAATAGCAAAGGGACCTTTGCAAAGGTCACGACTCTTGTTTTTTTCGCCACATATACACTCCTATATTTTATTAAAAATAACACAAAAAAAAATTTGTTTGAAAAATGAACTGTATGCAAGTATATTATGAGGCATGAATTATGATACATTTAAGTTCGTGTTTGACATCTTCCTAGCAAGGTCTTACATGCAGTAGTATTATTTAAACATTTTGTAATTTGACTTTCCAACATTCTTTTAATGTAATATCTTAAGCAACCACCTACCGATGATATAGAGTCATTTTACAAATTGGCTATCACGACTTAAATCAAACATACGTTCCTATCCCCCTTGTCCGATCATTTGTATATGTTACAGAAATGCTTATTGAAACATTGGATTGTATCACAAATTAGTTAACACACACACTTACTGATGGGTTTATATTACGTTTGTCTTTCAAGGTTCCGTGCGTTCCTTTTCTACCATCTCTGAGTATATTATGCAATACTTATTTAATGACGAATACAGCATATGTGGCATGGATACAATTCTTGTGCTGGATTGGCTTAGGTAAGTATTACATCACATGACAGGGAAGGAGGGCACCAAGATTACATTTTACAGAACAAATTTGCATAATACAATAGAATTCATGTTTATAATTTGTGAATCTAGTTGTTAAATAATGACAGGTTGGTTTCCAGGTTAGTAACATTATTTTAATCACGAAATAATACAATGTAATTCAATTGAAATTTACGTACCTATTGTCACATTGAAGGACTTTGTCCATACTTCGAAATGACGTCATAGGTCTGACAGAAAATACCATTCTATTTCACTGACAAGATGTGCATTCTGAGAGGGAGGGACAGCACTCGCAAAACATCGTGTGCAGATCTTTGAGAATTTAAGTGCTTTGTCATTTTGAAATGTATCATCTGATGCTTAGAATACCAGTATAGAGTGTAATGTGCTATTTAGATGTGAATTATTTTGTATGCTGGTTTGAAGTGCGTGTTTAACATTATGGTACGAGTAACTAAATGTGAACATTATCTGTGCAGCCTCAATAATACACAATTTCTCATTCAAAACGTATTATTAATAATATTATTGTGTTCCTAAAGATTGTTCTACTTTTCCCCAGGTCTGGTCATATATTTTTTGTATGGTATGCGACACAGTAATGAGGCACGGCGCAGTGAACAGGAGTATGCCACCAACATCAGATATTGTACAGTCCCTGACCTAACACTAACAACGACTGAACACTATGTAGAGATGCAGAAATTTTAACAGAAATATTAATGTGCATAGAGATCAAATATCCAACCAATCTGTCATTATGCTTTGCGAGGTTCTTTTTTTTTATTGTGTTATAGCATGTGTGACGGGCATTAGTCAGACTTGTCACGGTTCTGTGAGTTTTATTTGGTAAGTTTATTACAAGCTGTGTAGCTGAGCATTCTACAGCTTCCTGCTTACAATGTGTCTTCTGTGATCTAAAATGTGATCACCACAGTGATGATGTTTACAGAGCACAAGTTATTGAATTCTACATAAACTTCGATGAAAAAGATATTTCAATCTTTACTGCATCAGTGAGGGCCGCCAAATTTTGAACGTTGTATTGTCATCGGCCGAAAAATTGGGATGGATGTATATATACAAAGAAAATGTATTCAAGGTGGTCGTTAGTATTGCATATGTTATTGTTTATATAATGTGTAACTACAGTAGGAAGGTCGTTTGATATGACTGGAATACCAGTCCAAAATCTCGTTGATTTAATTTTCCAACAGTGACTTAGCCTCAACAAGCTTATCTCTACCAACATTCATGTACGTCACTTCTGGCTAGTCAACATTTTATGAAGTGTGCCATGATATAAACAAGTTTACACGCCACAATATGATTGTTTGAACACGTGCGAACGAATTTGTGTTTGACCCAAACACCAAATAAACATACCTCCGGACAAATCTGCAAAATGTAAAAACATACCCCCTGGAAAAATAACAAAATGACCGGTAAATTGTTCTCTTGCTTACTGGTGTATATGCAAACTTGTTACTGTTCCTTGTAATTAGTAATATAAAAGGACAACAAATGATGAATATCTAGTAATATACTTCAACACATGTAATTTGGAAATATGTAATGATTACTGTTATAAAAAAGAAACATCACTTACACATTACTAGTTGTATTGCTATACAATACTACCACTTGTAGGTTCAATAACTCTATTGTTTGCGCATATCCAAACTGATGAATGCATATCACTGCCACATTGCACATAGTGGGTGTAACAATGGTTATATACCAGAATAAGGAAAAGATACCTTAACTATACTTATCACTGCCGCCTAACAGAAAGACAGGCTGTCTGGTAAATCATATTACTGAAATATTTCACTTGATGCCCCAGGGAACGTCCAAAGCCAAACAATAATAGTATATTTCTATGTGTTGGAGTGCGCCGTTGCAAATCCGGATAATTAATCTACACGTATAAACCGATGTAAAAATAAGTGAAACAATAATTCAATAATCGAGCGCTTCTCCTTGTTCTTGCCGGAGGCCTGAATCTGACTCGTAGGAGCCTGCTAATTCGCCTATGACCTGTGGGATGGAGCCACATGGCTCAAACACGTGCAAACTTGACGTACGAATATCAACTCATAAGTACATATATTTTTTGTATTTCGATCCGATGCTGCGAACTTACCCGTGATCATTACAAATATTATCATTGAAAAAGGCACTGGCGACATGGAATGAACTATATGTATGCACAGTATACGTATATTGTAGAATACACAAAACAAATAGACCCAAAACACATATGGCAAAGTCTGGCGTATCCAGTGAGCTGGGGCCACTTTGCCAAAACAAAAACTTTCGTAAAAATTCGTTTTACTTCGTCCCATGAAAATCACATCAGCATAGAGACGAAAGTGTTATACTATACATTTTATAGCATATAAACAAAGTTAAACGCAGAAAAAAAAGTTATTCAATTTACCTTTGAAATGATGGATGTCGAACCTCTGGCACGGCCTGCTTCCTCCCGCACTGGGGTATGACAAAATAATATTAATAGATGTTCGCCATATAGAACACTTGACCTACAATTTTCCAATCATTGGTCGTAATATTATATGAATATTTTCCTTCTGAGATAAACTATTTACGGTGCCTGCTTCACAGCAAAATGTTTGTAAATTGTAAAGATGTGAGAGGTAGATCCGGGATACGATAGGCTCATACTAACACAGTGATTAAATGTAAATCGTTCGTTAGAACACTCGCATACACTTCACAGAATCTTCCGATGAAATTACCTCGCGTTTAAACGAGTATACCAGATATTGCATCATTGTATGTCAAAAATCTTACCGTCGCGCGATATGCCGGTATAGCTATTATATTCTTTTCTCCTCACCCACGAGAAATGTGAATAATTCTTTCAGCAACCGGGAAATTACTTTCAACTTCACTGCAGAAGCACCATTTTAAAAATAAAATAAACATCGGGCAGTTTATAATTCATTAAATAAGGAGAGCATTCCATTCTTCACCTAAAAGTATGATACTGCAGCATTGCTGGGCCTCCCAGGAGAACGCTACATATTGCATGTTCAGTACAAATACAGTCCTCCGTCACCGCCAAAAATTAAATCGGTGAACAAATTATCCCCTTAGAGAACACAAATCACTGCTTTCACCATTGTATTCAAACGAATCACGTGGTGCGTTGTTACTTATCCACTGAAAATGAAATATGGAAAGTAGGCATTACACTTCCTTGAGTCAAACCATTAGGGGAGTTTCGGTTAAAAACACATTAAACACATTAAAAACACAGCATACAAATTCATCATTTGCAAAGCAGTATACTAAAACAGAAATTCCTAACGATTCAAAAGAAGGATATATATATTAATTTTCTCTTTTGACAATCCCTCATATATACCACTCCCAATTATTCCTGTGTAAAATGGAATAGAATATTTACGTGGATTGAGGCTAAGTAAAATTGCGTGATAGGCTGTTAAAATTGACTGGTACATACTCTGGAAAATATATTTAATTAGAGTAACACAACAATATCAGACGAAACATGAAATCACTACATATTGTATTTCAGCCTGAACCCCCAGGAA